ACTGTTCGGGCATTCCCAATTTCAGGCTCTTCCTTCGTTTTCACAGGCCCTCTCTTTGGCTTGAACCTAAAATCGGGACCCCCTTTTCGACCACTGTCACTGCCTTCGCGAGCCCGACGTGTGACGAATTCCTCTGCTAGCTCTGCAGCTCTGGCTACAGAGCTAACATCTGGCCTGTCTTGCACCCAATGCCTAATGTTCTCTGGTAACCGGTTGTAGAATTGCTCTAGTAAAAAACACTCAATAACCTTTGCGTGGTCACCGTAGGCCTTCTCCTCCTTTAGCCATTCCACCATGTTTGACTTCAGTTTATAGGCAAATTCAGTGTATGACTCACTCCTTCCTTTCTCCAATTCACGGAATTTCCGCCGGAATGCCTCCGCGGACAGCCTGTACTTCCTAAGAAAACTGGACTTTACTTTGTCGTAATCGTCGACCTCCTCAGTGGATAAACAGGCGATTACTTCTGCTGCTTCGCCAGGTAAGAGTGTGAGCAAGCGCTGTGGCCACGACTCACGGGAGAACCCCTGCTTCTCACACGTCCGCTCAAAGTTCACCAAGAACAACCCAATGTCCTCTCCGAGTTCATAAGGGCGAATTAGTTCTGTCATTTTGAGCGATATGTGCACCCCTGCACTATTTGCCTCGCTTCTCTGCCCTGCCGTTCGCACGCGCTCTATTTCAACCTCGAGTCGCTTTAACTCGAGCGCGTGATCGCGTTCCTCGCGCTCTCTCGAACGTTGAAACTCGAGTCGTTTTAATTCGAGCTCCCTTTCCTCACGCTCTTTCTCTTGCTGTTCTCTACGCTCCTCTGCCTGTCTTTTTGCGGCTTCCCTTTCTCGAATTATCTCAAGGCACTCCGTCAGCTCATCTTCCTCAGCCTCCAGAGCACTAATAGCCTCGATCAATTCTGGTTTCCGGAGTGCGTCAGAAACATCCAAACGCAACTCCTTTGCAAGCTGTAATAACTCCGCTTTACGCAGCAACTTCAAATTCATGGCTGTGTTCAGTGCGACCTTTCCTACTGTATACAACTATCTTGCCGCAGCCCACTTTGGCGACAACAATAGTTCGAATTACCAGTTACGCTTCCCCACTGAAAAAGCCTGGCAAAACTCAGCAGACAAAGCCCCGCACTCACCACTCAACAGCCAAGAATTCCGCGTAGACCCTCGCAAACACTGCATCTGGTTGCGGCCTGGCAGACGAGACGGCTCGTGGATCCGTGTCGCAGCTCAGCCCTCGAGTCGTCGAAATGACTGCAGCATCCCACCGCTGCCACCAGTTGTTAAGGGTGTCTCTTGACCGCCGCCGTCAGCAGGTTGTGCTCGTAACTTGCATCAGGACCGACGAGAAGGGAAGTACCGGCGAGACGGCGCAGAACAGCAAATCAAAAGAGTTTAATACTACATAGTTAGACCAAAGTGGACATTCAAGTTTACAAACAAAGGTAAGAAGCCGAGGAGCAGAGTTCCGGCAGAGTCTCAATCCAGACTGCTTCACCCAGTCTCTCCCTGCGCGTTTTTAAAGGGTTCCAGACGCTTGTGTGACGTCAGGCGCCTCCAGACATGACCAAATATGGATCACCTTGTGTTCGCACCACCTACCACGCCACTGGTCACGCCACCGATCACGCGACTGATCGCGCCACGGATCACACCACCGGCGTTCCCACACTCAAGAGCCAGGTGCGAATGAGCCATGAGCTCACCGCGTTCTTGCGCACAGCACATGACGACCTTCGCGGCAGCAGCGTCTCAGGTTCCTCGGCGTCTGGGCATACACTTCTGCGCCTCTACCCCCGATACGTTTACAGGCCCGGGAGCGTTCGCACGCTGTCCGTGGTCTTGCATTTGGGCCCAAAGGGGTTCGCGTAAAATGAAGCGTAACAGCAGGAGGTCGGTAGACATTTGGTTGTGGATGTGGCGGTGGAGAGTGCGTCGGTTGGGCGGGGCGCACCGGGTTGCGCGCGGCCGCGGCGTACGACATGATTTGCGGTCCTTGTGGAGCCCACTCAGGCTCCTGGCTTGGTGGAACTAATGGTCCGGTCCCCAGCACCTGCTGAACTTCTTGTCTGACGACATCGCTCAACGTCGCGACTTGAGGACAAGAACTCGGCAACATCTTCCGTAGTTCCTCTTGCACAACAGCCTTTATGGTGTCTCCTGAAGGTTGCTGACGGTTACAGCATTAAGCTCGGCCGGCGACGTATCGCCTACCAGAGCAGGGCGTCCATACTGTCTCCGCCGCACATCAAGAACCTTTTCTATGGCGGCTGCTTCCGTTACAAATTGGGAGACAGTTTGCGGTGAATTGCGCATTAATCCAGCAAAAAGTTCTTCCTTCACTCCTCTGATAAGGAATCGGTGTTTTTTTCCTCTGGCATTTCCTGGTCTGCTCGACCAAATAGATGCTTCATTTCTTCGACGAAGGCAGCGACGCTCTCGTTAGCGAGCTGGAAGCGTGAATGCAGCTGCCTCTTTGCCCGTTCCTTGCGAGCGACGCTTGAAAACGTCCGAAGAAGGCTGCCTTTGAAATCCTCCCGTGTCCTAAGCACGGATTCGTGGTTGATAAACCAGGTACGCGCAGACTCTTCCAGTGTAAAGTAGACCCACTGCAACTTCGCTTCGTCATTCCACTTGTTGATGGCCGCCACGCGCTCGAACTGTTCCAGCCAGTCCACGGGGTCGTCGCACGGCGTTCCGCGGAATTTAGGGGGTTCACGGAGCTGCTGCAATACGACGGCTGTTGGCAACTGGGCTTAACTCATCTTGACAGGCCTGGCTTCTTTCATGGCGGGTGGTTTTTCTGGAAGGAGGCCGTGCTCCGGGGGAAGTCCTAGCTGTCGGTGGCTTCTTCTCTGGTCGTCTTCCTTTGCTCGGTGAGGACTGGTGTCACGGCTGCACGAGGAGTTACTGAACATACCCAGCACCTCCACCAGATGTCACGTGCGTCGTCGTCACTGGAATCCACAGAAGACGAGGGTGCGGCAGACAAGGTATATTAGTAAGGAGACGTACTTGTGCCTCTCGCTTACGACAAAAAAAAACAAAAAAAAAACACTGACAGGATCGGAGCAGCGTGCCCATGCACAGCTGCCGTTTCACCAAAGAACAACCCACAGCTTACGCGCTGCCAGTTATTTAAGCACTGAGAAGACAACACAGAACATGCGCACACCTATCATCAGATACTGCACTGTCTGATACGATGGGCCCATCGGGAGTTAATCGCAGTCCGCTCTAGCCTATCTAATGACGCGACGGCTGTCGCCCTATAGTGGCAGCTGCGCAGAACGGCATGGCACGTGGCAATACAACAAACACAGAGCTGTGAGAATCATTCAATCAACAAACACAGAGCTGTGAGAATCATGTGACAATAAAGCAGTTACAATTGCTCCTTTTTTTCTTTCCTTCGCTACCCTGTGCTGATTTTCTCTCTCAAAGCCGCTTTGCCCTCTCGCCTTCAGGTAGTACGCAAGGGATTATTGGTTAGCTGCCATCTCATAATAAGATCACGTACTACATGACTCCAAACAAGCAGTTAGAGTGTTTCACACTCGCCGCAATAGCAACAGACAATGCTGACTGATACCTGCCATGTTTAAATGCACATATATACCCTATAGAGTGGATGGGGGCATGACCTACACTGTAGCTCAGTGGTACAGCATTGAATGCATTGTTCGAAGGTTGCAGGTTTGGATCCTGGCAGTGACAAGTTATCTTTTCGTCCATTTTTCTTTCTTCACATTTACAGTACAGTTATTTTCAATAAAATCCTCTATACTTCTCTTGGCAGCATGATAGGTCAATTCTCATTAATATTGTGTCTAACAAAGAAAACGAGCTTCTAAATTTACACCTCCTTCCTTCATTCGTAGCGAGGGTCTCATTCTGGCAGACTTGGTGCCTTCACATAGTATATGAGGGGTGAGAAGTCGACTACCAGCTTGTAATAAAATCACGTGCTGTGTGACACCGAGATGGAAAAAAAGTGTTGCACTGGTGTGCCGACGTTACAAACAGACTCTATAAAGTAGACGGGGACGAGCACCACTATAGATCAGTGGTATTGGACGTGTTATTTGAGGCACAGGTTCGCATCCTGCTGATGGCAAGTTGTCTTTTCGTCCACTTTTCTTCATCATATTTACATTACATGTAATAACATACCCTATACTTTTCTTGGCATCATTCTCTGTTAGTTCTCATTATTAAGGTACACTTTTGTATTTTGCAAGCATCGGTGATGCAGAAAGGCACAAAACTGTTTAATCAGACATTTGGCTAACCGATCTAGTATAATTTTGTGATAGAAATATTTGCCCAGCTTTTTTGCTTTTAAAGATAGTTATGTAATCTTGCCTAATCAGTTAGTTAAGCACAATACAAGAATAGTGTGACTTCATTCATTCAACATGCATTTGTTGCATTGTCATAAAGTATGGTATCATATATATATAGACTCTCGCCATAGCTAGCCAAGGCAGCCTCTATTTATATGTCGTTGAAACATATTTTTTCCCCAAACCACAATATGATTATGAAGCATGCCGAATTTGAGAGTTTCGAAAATTTTTACCACTTGGCGTTCTTTAATGTGCACTGACAGTGCAGGAACCTCTAGCACTTTACCTCCCTTGAAATGCAACCATGGCAACTGGTATTCAGACCTATGACCTTCAGGTTACCTGACAAGCGCTGTAACCGACAAAATCATTTTTTTATGTTGCGCCGTGTTAACATTTTTGTTTCACGTCCCATGCAAAAAAAAAAACGAGTCCAACAGTGACTTTGTACAAAACCGAATTTCAATACAGAACGGAGATCTTTTCATGGAACACAGCAAAATACTGACTTTGCTACAGCAAGGTTTAACTGTATGTTTGTGCTGATACTAGTATATTACCCTTGCTTTTCCCCAGCAATGTATATGCCACTGCGTTAAGAAAGCTTTTCATGATCTTTTCTTTTCTTTTTTTTTTTAATGTTCAGAGTTGCCCAGGTCTGTCGTGCATGGAGGATGTTCACTCAGATGCCACATTTGGTGAGTGATGTCACTTGTTGGCAAGGATGAGTTGCTGCATTCACTTAAGAAGAGGCTGTTGGTATTGTTACCAGGGCCTCTAAAAAGCATGAGTGGCATGTGCACAACATTTGGTAATTTCTGCACCAAAATAATGCTTCAAGAGTTGCAGATTGCTTATAATCTGGTGGTACATGAAAAAAAAAGAAGGATGTTTCTTGTTGTTCAATGCTAGAAATTGCTCGAAACATACATAGCTAGCTTGTCTGTAAGCATCTTGTTTAGCCACTCTGCATGACTGTTAATGTGCTGATGGTAAGCTGGGGTTTCTTGGCCATCTGTAGAGCGTGAACAGTTAAAACTATCATGAACCACCCCTCAGGCTTGTTAAAAATAGACATCCTGCCAAAAACAGACAAGGCTATCGGCTGCTAAGTCGAGTATTGCAGTCCTGTGCACGTCATGTAGAGTTGCTGTTTTCTCAGGTGTCCTCTTTTCTAATGGTTCTCACTGTCTCTTCGGTGCGTGGGCGTCTGTCATCGGACGTCACAAAAGATTATTGGCCCATAGCTGGCATAAATCAAGAGCTGTTTGGATCAGGCATGCTGGTTCTCGTGGACTTTGTGTATACTAGTCGTCGTAGTTAAATAAGCAGACTGAAATATAGAAAAGCTTTGTTTGCAAGTTTTCAAAAAGAGGACTCACTTCTGGTAGAGGCCAACTGCTCTCTGCGGAACTCAGCGCACCTGTGTGCATTTGAGCGTGCACGCTTAGAAGTTGAATGTAGCTCACATCTGCAGTTACAAAAGCACCCTGCTCAGTCATTGAAGCATACCATGTCACCTTCACATTTGCAGTGTGTGTTGACAGGATGGGCTCAATCCTCGCTCACTCATAGCCTTTTGTTTACTTTTCTTGCACTTTTTTGTCGCAGTGCTTGTGTTGAGGTCAGAATCACGATCTGATTATGGCCAGAATTTTCAAAACTAACTTAAAAACCTGATTTCAGCCCAAAACAAGTGTGCCAGCCTCCTAGTACCCTGCACTACACAGGTCCAATAATTATGTATGTCACTGGGACAGCGCCCCTGAGTTTTTCAATAGGGTGGCCTGTAATGAGCACATGTGTCATGGTACCCGTGCTTCTGAGCAAACTTGAACGTATCTGTCTATTTATGTGACGCAAACGTCGTTGATGCAACACCACTGGCACATCACACAGGGGATCTGTCGCCACAGAATCAGACACAAGAAAAGCATGCAAAGTAGCCAGCCATCGAGTGCGAGGGCCTCCACTAGAGAGGCCAGTGCTGCGATCATTGTGACGTCAAAGTTAGGGTGAAGTGGTGTTGCACAGTGTTCAATTCTCAACGTGTGAAGCTTTGTTTGACCACATAGAGATGTTATCATTGTACAGGCAGTGTTATAGCTTGCGTAAAAACAGCTTCAGCAAGTTGGTGTGCTGTTCAATGCCACAGTGCCAAACGTATGGGGCAGATCTCGCTGTAAGTCTTCATCTTACCCTAAATGCAATGTAATGTGCGAAGCTTGGCTGGTAAAGTCGAAAATAGGAAAAGACTCCAGCAGTAACTTGCAGGTTTGAAGCAAGCATTTTCGCAAGTCCAGGATTTCATGCGCACCTTCGCTGCTCATTTTTGAGTAACAGCTAACATGTGCTTGCGAGTGCCGGAAACTTATTGCGGGTGTTTGTGAATGAATTTACTTATGTACGAAAACCACAGGCTCTTTGTAAGTTGACAAATTAAGTCAAAACAAAAGTGCCCCTTCTTAAATATCACTCACAGTAAAGTCCTTGCAAAACAAACAATTTGTCACGTGTTCTCTTGCATTAAGGCACTGAAAAGTAATGCAATATGTTGCCGACAAGTGTAAGCCACGGTGAAGGGTTAATGTATCAGTAGTTTAAAAAAATATGATCATGGTGGTGTTCGTCAATCTAATTGAATCAAAGAGAGCGAGAAATAAACGAAAGAATGGAAGAAATAGGAATAAAGAAAAGAAGGAGAAAGCAAGGAGGTTAACCAGAAAAAATTCTGGTCCAGAGATATAGATGGCGCTATAGTAGCACCTGCATGGAAAATGACCTATCATGCAGTCACCACAGTGCATTGGAAAATACATAGTTACCCCTCCAAGGCAAAACGCAAGCGCAGCACACCAAGCGTCAAGTGTTTTATGGGGCCATTTCACACGCACTGGTGCTTTTAATGAAATGCCTTATTAACTATGTATGTGTTCACTTTTCTTATTTACCTTCTTCGAATGAATAAAAATGGTGAATTAAACATTCTAAACACTGACAGGGCAGGGGAGGTTCCTTCCTCGGTCCGTGGGGCATATCTCTGTTTCAAAAACGGAGGGGGGAGGGGGAGGTGATGCTTGCTCTGGATTTTACAGCATCTAGATGCCAGAGCAAAAATGCACGCTATTTCTTCTTTGTTTTCCATCACTGTTGCACAATTCATCAAGTATACATGTATCGATATTGATCTCCCATATTTCTATGTTCTTAAATTACAAACAAAATACTCGATTATCTTGTTACAATTTATCCTAGGAGCAGAAACCTGGAGGATTACCAGGAGGGTTCAACTTAAGTTGAAAACGATGCAGCGAGCATTATAAAGGAACATGATAGGTGTAACCCTAAGGGACAAGAAGAAAGCAGATTGTATCAGGGAACAAATGGGTGTCAAGTGCGAAGACAAGATAACTGCTGGTTATTAAAGATAACAGAGTGGACACCAAGAAAAGGGAAGCGGGTGAGGGGAGACAGAAGGTTAGGTGGGCAGATGAGATTAGGAATTTTGCCCGTTTAAAGTGGCAGTAGCAAGCACAGGACTGAGTTGACTGGTGGAACATGGGAGAGGACTTTGTCCTACAGTGAGCATGGTGTCAGGCTGATGATGAACTCATTTTTTTGCTTTTGCAGCATCGTTACACTTTGTTGACATTATCCTTATTTATGAGGATATGTCAGAAAGATCTCTGTCATTTCAGTCACGCTGCCACCTCGCAGCACACAATGTAAATTGCAGTCTTGCAGTGCTTGTTTTTAAAGATGATGAGCAGAAGCATTGATCATTCAGTGAGGCGATGTGGATCTTTCATTTCATAAATGTGCACTGCCACTTGACGTTTCGTTACACATAAAAAAAGTGTGTAAGGGTGTTTTGTGCTGGAGTCTGTGTTAGTTTTAGCTTGCATCTCTGGATACGTTTTTCTTGATTACGGGATTATTTTTGCAGTGGAAGAGGGTCGACTTCAGACGTCTCCGTGTTCATGACTGGAATGCGTGTGTGGCCAAGTTGAAACGCATGCAGAGTGAAGAGCTTGTAAGTTATGCTGTTCCGCAGTTTGTACTCAGTGGTGGTTGTCATTGCTTGTGGCTAAAAAGCCTGTTACTGTATGGCTTATGTACCTTTATAATGCGGATATGTTGCACATTCTATCTGGTCATTGAAAGATGGCTCTTTTCATTACTTGTGCTCTATCACGTTTTGGTTAAACTGCAGCACAAGAAAGGGCAGGAAACAAAAGAGGAAGTCATATAAGACATGGGAGAGGTTTTTTGCTTGCCATGTGGAATGGCGTCACGGGCACTGACAGATCTCATTTAAAATTATGCTTGAATCTACTGGCCATATTTTTACCTAGGTTGGATTAAATTTTTCATGACCTTGATAGATGGACATGCTTGTGTTGCCTGCACAATGTCATCGTTCACAATTTTTGTTTACACCAGGCAATTTTTACTGATTTTTCCACGGCAACTGCACATAAAAAGCCAAAAATATCTAGGACCCTCTACCATGGTGTCCTAAGTCGCTTTGGGATATTAAACCCCACAAACTGTTTTCACATTATGATGGCGCAAAAAAAAGAAAACAGTGAAGTATGATGAACACAAGTGCCCTTTTTTTCTTTAGCGCTTCATCGTCATGACCATGTACCAACACGCCCAGCTAGCAGTTATTACCTTTTTTGGTTGATCTTGTTACTGGTCCAGCGAAATACTTTATCTCTTCTCCAGAACATGCTACATTGCAGGCTGGTCATACCTCTGCTCTCACAGGTGTTGGACAGGGACAGCCTGGATCCTGTGTTGTCTAAGGCCAAGCACTTGGAAGCAGTGCAGCATGTGGAGGTGGAGGTGAATTCCTTACAGCTTGTGGGCCTGGGAGAGGCCTTCCTTCACCTCCGTAGCCTGTCTGCTGTGATCACTCGCAAAGGGTGAGTAATTATCTTATTTAAATCATTCTGTTTTTCATTTTTGACCTAATTTAAGAGCACCCTGTATAAAACGTCGGCATTCACAGCGTTGAGGCAGCACTGTGCACAACTACAGAGGTCATCTCTCATCCAGTCAAAAGTGCATTTGACGCAAGGCCAACTTTTGGCTGCTGCTATTCCAACTCGCAGACATTCTCTCCACAAAGAACGCAGCGAAGCAGGGAAGCATCTCTCAGTGGTACCAAGTGATGTGCAGTACAGTATGGAAGGCATGCTGCTTAAATATCTGGAACTTTGGGGTTGCTGGACAAGTCTGACAATGAGATCGAGAGAGTAGAATGCGTTGCTTACAATATAAATGGTCTCAGTAGTCATATGGCGAATGCCTGTTGTCTGTTGTCACTGCAGGTCTCGAGAATGAACAATTGCGCTGCCACAACTGTCTCTCTCACTTCACCATTTTAGCTAAAAAAGAGAATAAAAAATAATTCAGCATATAGTTCTGCGTTCAAGGTGTCCCTTTCATGTCAGGTCTGGCGAATAACTTATGTCGGAAGAACAGAACTGTGCTATTGCCATTCATTCAGTGCTAATTAAAGGAGGCATTCCTTATTCTGCACTATACAACAGAGTTATAAGAAGGTTAACTAGGATGGCAGCTTTCCTAACAGGCTAAGAACGAATTGAAAGGCAGTGATTCTTCCTTCACACAGAAGCTTTCAATCTAGTGCTTTTATCTAGCTTTAAATTATGGCTGCTTTATTACAAATCTCCTAAAGGTATCAGTAGGCTGTGAATATTCAAATTTGCTTTGATTTGAGTTTAAATTGTTGAAAATTTTCAAGTATTCGAAATAAACGATATGTCTACATGTAACCCCTCTAAAGGTGGTTTCACTGGAGAGGAGGGGTGCTAAGCCGCAAACACAATTGTGTTAGTTTGTATCACGATGTACGAATAAGTTAGATGCCGACACTCGCTGCTCCGCACAAGAAGAGGGCGCGGGCAGATTGTGTTTGCTGATTACCTTGAGCTACAGTAGTTGCCATTGCAGGAGTTGAGATGGGAATACTGTATGGCGTGCCAGGTATTCTCGTGGGGCTCATTCTGAAATATGCATGCCAAAAAGCATCTTCCTGAAAGCTTTGTGTGCATGAGGTTTTGTGATATAGAAATGCGTCGCCCTGTGTCTGTGAGCCCTGCCAGTGCATTTGTTCAGGTAATTCGCGCTTTGTGATTCAGTGCATGTAGACCTCAGCACTGCATATGACTCCGAGTACGCGTCAGCGACCTTGTTCCTGGCTGCGCCTCGAAATGGGCAAGTGGCGTTTTGTTCCAAATTTCACATTGGAGTATCAAATTCGTACAGAGCATGTGTCACTTTTCAAGGCTCCACATGAACCAGAGCACTTGGGCAAGTGGCGACGGGCAATTCCAAAAGCTGACGAAACCTTGCAGCCTACTGACCATATGTGCGTGAAGAATTTCTCTGAAAAAACAATCTCTGCCTCTTATCATGCAGTATACAAGGGAAACGTCCTGTTGCACGTGCAAAAGAAACCTACGCTCACTTCAGATGCTGCTGAGCCTGCCATGTTAACCGGCTATCCAAATACCTGACTGTGCAGTAAAAAAAAAAAAAAAAAAAAAAAAAAAAAAAAAAAAAAACCCAGGAAAGCTCAGCGAAAGCGACTGGCTCTACTGCCAATTTCCTGAAAGCAACGAGGGCCAAAAGGTTCAACTGCATCTGAAGTGCTTGACATGACCACTTAAAGAACACCAAATTTATTGCGCATAGAGCAGTTTTTCCTCAGCACAGCGGTGATGAATCAGCAGGCACGCATGCAAAAGGTAGCATTTCGAATTCAGCAGCGACAGGCCTCTTCCACGTAAAGTGGAGAATACTTCTCAACAGGACACTGATAGTGTGGGCCTATGCGTTACCAACTCGGTTTTTCATCATGAGGGAAAAGGAATTTCTTGTTTTAAATTGTGATGCCACAGTTTTTTAGCTGTCTCATCCATGTCTATTCGGACCAAGCAAATTTAAATCCACAGTAACTAGTGAACAGAAATCATTGTACGTACTAATTCTGTGATGCAGCCATTGTTATTATAATAAGTTTTTTCATGCTTGATGTGGTCAAGCCAGATTTTATCGTTTTTTGGATATCTCTAGCACTTTATCATCACCGTCTTGCAACATTGTAGGTGCACTTCTGACAACGGTATTTGCAACATAATACCTTTCAATTATTGATTCGAAGGACTAAGATATTTATGATGCCTCATAAAACGCAGAATGTGATTGTCGGGGTCCCGCGTTGGTGGCGTAAGGGTCAAGCCGCACAAGATATACTGCTTTAGCTAGTGCGCTCGCTTTCACTGTCTCATAAGCACCTCATCAAGTTAACTTCGCACGGCCTAACAAAATAACGCAAATTATGGCTGATGGCACTGGCCCAACAGTCCCGACATGGGTGTGATACGGGTTAACCCAGTGTCGACTTTCGGGACCCACTGAACTTTTCCCACTATATCATGCTGTGTACACTGCCAGAGGCCGAAATCTGCATGAAGCTAGCAGAAAGACTGCCAAGAGTAGTGTGTCAATTTAGGTTCTTAATAGAATGCAGGTAAGTTTCTTGATAAATTAGTTGAAAGATTTTGGATGATGTTTTTCGTTCATTTTGCTGAGCAACAGAACACGACAGTGATATCCGCGCGTGCATTCTCTCTTACGCACACACACACACATTCACGCACACGCGCACGCATACTATAGTTTTTTTAATAGCTAGTGCACTTTTGCTCTCGGGCTGCTGTGCTTATTGCAAATACCTTAAATGTTCTTTCACGGACAACACTGTTTTTTTGTTCTGAACCAAAGATGCTGACGCCGACACCAGAATTTCAACGAAACTACATCTTTCGTGCTCTCGCGTCAAAATGTAACCGCTTTCCTCAGGCCAACGTTAGCTGCTGTCTGTGCATTTATATCATAAAAACACTGTTAGTAAATTAGCTGCTTATAAAATTAGAAAATAATTTTATTTGAGCAGAGTCACAATGTATTAATTTATCGACATCTATGTATACCTGTATATTGAACGTAATAAACCAGTGAGGCTTCGCAGCAAAAACCTTCTACACCTGGATCGAGTCGCTCACCAGTGAGCGCCTTTGCCCACCCTTCGCAAACGCCATCTGTCGCATCAAACGAAAACAGTCAAGGCGGCGAACACAATCTGGACGCGGCATTGGGCGCAGTGTCATCACCTAACTTATTCTTACACCGTGGTTCGCATGCAGTTTTTTGTAAAGAGGGTTTCACTGCAGCTAAGAGATGCTAAGCTGTGAGAACACCTTACTAAAAAAATCGCTTTCTTTTAAAGCGATTTAAGCCTAAATGAACATATTATGCTCACATCGATTCTTCTTCTTTTTTAGTTTTAAAGCTTGTTCTATACTGGCTTATATGCTCTAAATATAGTGAATTTTAGAACTTTACATATATTTAGGTTATCACTTGCATTCTACTGAAAATCAGATCCTGCTACTGTTCAAAGTGATTTTCGCTTCCTATGATTCAAAAAGATTGGCCTTGTTTCAAATAATACTGTGATTTTATGTCATGACAAATATGCCCATTTTGTTTTTCATAATATGTGAGATATGCTATCCGAATTCACTTTGAACCTAAAATATTGGCACAACCCTAGATAAGGGCAATGCCGCAGCCTCTATAGCATGCAAGAAGTAGAGGCTGTAGTTGCGTATCCTACCAGTGGCAAGTTTCTTGCATGCCCTTTATTTTCTGTCTAACTTACTGCAGTTTAATTAAGAACTGCAAATAACAACTCCTATGCTTTCATTCTTTTTGCAAGCATTTGATGTTTTTTTAGCAGAAACAATCCTCAATCGTTTGCCTTTTAATTCACTTCATAGCGAGTGTGTGGAGTCCAGCTCATTTGATGCCACTAGGTGTCATACCAGTGCTTATTGGTCAGCTACCTACTGGGAAGGATGTCATGTTATGTTACGCCTTCAGACAAAAAATGTTCTACACTAGCTGGCCACAGGCAGTGCTGCTTGACACTTCCAGGGTTGCACATACATAAGTGCACTAGAAGGTGAAGTGGATTGTAGCATAATTTGTAGTGCTACAGTTCCCTACACAACCAATGCAGAGGTTGTCGATTTGTGTGACCATAAAAGTTCGAGACGGCCTTTGAGATCTCAAGAGTCATTGCTGAGGTCCTAATTTATGTCTATTTATACTCATACTCGCAGTGCCATTCAGGCATTACAGTGGGGGGATTACACAGAAAACTTGGACATCATACATTTCAAGAACTCTGTTGTCAATGCACATGAATGAGTTAAAGACCATCTAACCTCGATGGAAAGGGAAGATACCAACATTAAATTATATTGTACAAACATAAAATACAAGAACTATGTGATAAGAACTAAACTTTGCATAAAAATTGACTGCAGTGAAAAAAAAAAAAAGAGATATCAAAGAGCAGCCACGAAAGCTTTGTTATTTAGTATGCTGACTGTGTCAGCAGGCAGACTAGTCCAATCAGAAACTGTTTTTTTTTTGACGACGTATGTTGAAGTTTATTGGAAGGTAAGCATACGTATAAATGAACAGATAAGCGAATTGCATGAGGAAGTCCCAGAGTAAAAACTTTTGGGGGGACCTCCTAACAGATTGTGAATAAGATGATGCATAATATGCAGCACACAATTGGCATTGTGACAAAGTTCTAAATACAATGTGTAGCGTGAACAAAATGAACGAAAACACTTTCTTCATTTTTCAAAAATATGAAGATAAACAACATGTCTACAATAATTAAAAAAGCAGAACTAAACCATACATAAAACTGTTGTAGCATGACGTCACTTATCACTGCGCACCCAGTGCGCGCATTCCTGTGCGACCGATCACGTGGTTCTGCGCCTATATATGGTGCGTCTTCTAATAAACT